AGCGCCGGAGAGAGGGCGCGCACGGCCGAGTGAATGTAGCTGCTCGTGCAGGGGCGCTCTGGAGGGGTCCGCTGGCGGGGGGCCCTCGGGCTTACCAGAGCTGGCACTGCGGACCTCTGCGAGGTTCACAGAAGCACCGAAGGGGTCCAAGTGCAATGAGGATCCAAGGGATGAATAAGACGAGGAACGTAGAGAAGGTGTTCATCCCCAACTCCAGTAAAGCTCTGAGTTTCATTAGATTAAGCACCTATATGACCTGCATTTCACACACACTTGTGATTTTAACGTTTGGTCACACATGTATATCTCAGCCCTGGGTCACGGTGTTTTTATTGCCTCCATACCATCTACGTCTACTCAAGTGACCCACACACCTGCAACACAGCAGGGCACAATGTCTTGTAAGAGGGTAACCTGCTCAGATAAACGTCTGGTTTTCAAGTCTAGCATAAAATTTATCAAACATACAGAAGAGTAAAATTACTGACAAGCTAGAGTTAAAGATTATCAAGAGGAACACAGTTGTTTCATCTATTTTCCCATTTTCTTTGCTGAAATAGACAACTTATTTCACTCCAGGTTATTTTGATGCACGCCATTTTCAACAGACCTTTTACATCTTGAGTTGGCGAAATTAAGAGAAAAGAGATTGATTACACCTATGTGTAAAGCCAACTGCTTCAGCATATTTGGGAACATGGTAAGACCAGCTAATTCCACGAGCAAGGACCTACTGCCACACTTCATTTGCTGTGGAGTGAGTTCCTAGGTCAGAGGCAACAGTGTGTGAAACAAGTATTAAGTCCAAGGACAGTTGTTTTGGCAGACGCACTTTGGGCAGGAATAGCAAATCCATATCCAGAGTGTCTATTCCAGTCAGAGCAAGTGCTGCCCCTTCCATGGTCCAATGTAATCAACCTACAGCCAGAGGGCTGGCTGAGCCCCCAGAAGTGCTGCTGTATCAGGAGCTATAGCCAGATTGACCCTGGCGAGTGAAAGTCCACGTTGACCCCATGTGTAACCTCCATCCCTAGCCCTTTATTCTTGAGTCCGTTTGGCTAGGTAAAGAGGCTGACTGACATCCACAAAATGGGTTAATCTATCCACCTCATTAAAATCCTCTGTGGAGGTCGCCCTTTGATAAGCACTCATGTGGGAAATAATTATCTTCACATTCTGGGCCGAAGTCCATCCACATACCTGTTCCCTAGACCTCCTTGTCACCAACTTCCTAATTATGTTCCTCTCAAGTACTGACCATCCAGCCAAGCCATTAGCCACTGCTCATGAAAAAGTATAGATCTATACTTCCAACCAGGCAAGATGAACAACCAGGTACACTACTCTTATCTTCTTCCCACTGGGAGGATCTCCCTTCACCGCCATCCTTCAGAAGCATCCCAGAGTGGGATTGCAGTACTGCAGCTGTCCACTTTCAGGTGATACCAGCAGATCATGCAGAACCATGAGTAAACCAAGCCCAAGAGTTTTCTTCTTCAGGCAACTGGTCATAGGTAATTCCTCATGAAGCTGTGGGTAGGGGTTGAGAGAGAGAAGATCATGTAGCTTGCATGTTCAGGTCCTACTCCAGTTCAGTTTCATATGTACCATTTCCATTCGACGATGGAGTGTTGCTGTGCATGCACAACTTTATGGCTTGGTGATCATACAACAGCCAGTTCATGATGAGCAGCTTAAACTGCATGGTAAGTTGCTGGTCGATGGTCACGCCTTCAGACTCTGTTAAGGCCCAAAACCAGTTTGGTTTTGATTACTTAGTCATTTGTTTCTAACTTTTAAATTTGAAATAATTACAGATTCAAAGATACAGATAGGAAGTTGCAAAAATAGTACGGAGAAGTCCCATGTATCCTTAACTCAGTTTCCCCAAATGGTACAACTTACGTAACTATAGTACAACATCAAAACCAGGAAGCTGACATCGGTACAATCCATAGAGTTTATTTAGATTTTATGAGATTTACATACACTCATTTGTGTGTGTGTGTGTAGTTCTATGCAATTATGTCACATGTAGATTTCTGTAACCAGCACCACAATAGAGATACAGAACTGTTTCTATCTCCAAGACCACTTGTGCTTCTCCCTTCGAGTCAAGCCCACCCCCTCTTCTATCCTCTCCTCCACCATCTCTAACCCTTGGCAACCACTAATCTGTTTCTCATCTCTATAATTTTATCATTTGAGAACATTATATAAATGGAATCATATAATACATATAATACATGATCTCGGCTGACTGCAAACTCCCCCTCCCAAGTTCAAGCGATTCTCCTGCCTCAGCCTCCTGAGTAGCTGGGATTACAGGCCTGTGCCACCATGCCCAGCTTTTTTTCAGTCAGCATAATACCCTTGATGTCTATCCAAGTTGTTCCATGTACCAATAGTTTCTTCCTTTACATTGCTGAGTAGTATTCCATGGCACTACCATTTGTTTAACCATTCACCCGTTGTAGGACATTTAGTTTGTCTCAAATTATTATTTTTCTTTTTCTTTTCCTTTTCTTTTTTTTTTTCCTTAAGACAGAGTCTCGCTCTGTTGTCCAGGTTAGAGTGCAGTGGCACAGTCTCAGCTCACTGCAACCTCTATCTCCTGGGTTCAGGTGATTCTTGTGCCTCAGCCTCCCGAGTAGCTGGGATTACAGGCATGTCCCATTACACTCAGCTAATTTTTTGTATTTTTAGTAGAGACAGGGTTTCACCATGTTGGCCAGGCTGGTCTCGAACTCCTGGCCTTAAGTGATCCACCCACCTCGGCCTCCCAAAATGCTGGGATTATAGGCATGAGCCACTGCGCCCAGCCTGTCTCCAGTTATTAACTATTTCAAACAAAGCTGCCATGAACATTCATGTATGTGATTTTTTGATATTTAGAAATTTTATTTTATTTTTATTTTTTTGAGACAGAGTCTCACTTTGTCACCCAGGCTGGAGTGTAGTAGCATGATCTTGGCTCACTGCAAACTCCCCCTCCCAAGTTCAAGCGATTCTCCTGCCTCAGCCTCCTGAGTAGCTGGGATTACAGGCCTGTTCCACCATGCCCAGCTAATTTTTGTATTTTTGTAGAGACAGCATTTCACCATGTTGGCCAGGCTGGTCTCAAACCCCTGACCTCAAGCGATCCGCCTGCCTCAAGCAATACACCCGCCTCAGCCTCCCAAAGTGCTGCGATTGTAGGCATGAGCCACTGTGCCCAGCCAGAAATTTTTAAATTGTGGTAAAATACACATAACATAAAAATTGCCGGCCGGGCACGGTGGCTCACGCCTGTAATCCCAGTACTTTGGGAGGCCGAGGCGGGTGGATCACGAGGTCAGGAGATCGAGACCATCCTGGCTAACATGGTGAAACCCCGTCTCTACTAAAAAAAATACAAAAAATTAGCTGGGTGGGGTGGTGGGCGCCTGTAGTCCCAGCTACTCGGGAGGCTGAGGCAGGAGAATGGCGGGAACCCAGGAGGTGGAGCTTGCAGTGAGCCAATATTGCACCACTGCACTCCAGCCCAGGCAACAGAGCAAGACTCCCTCTCAAAAAAAAAAAAAAAGAAAAAAAAGCCATCTTAATTTTTTAAGCTGTTGCCCAGGCTGGAGTGTAGTGGCATGATCTCAGCTCACTGCAACCTCTGCCTCCTGGGCTCAAGCGATTCTCCTGCCTCAGCCTCCTGAGTAGCTGGGACTATAGGTGCCTGCCCTCATGCCCAGCTAATTTTTGTATTTTTAGTAGAGATGGGGTTTCACCGTGTTAGCCAGGATAGTCTTGATCTCCTGACCTCGTGATCTGTCCACCTCCGGCTCCCAAAGTGCTGGGATTATAGGCGTGAGCCATCGTGCGTGGCCCACCTTAATCATTTTTAAGTGTACAGTTCAGTGGCATTAACTACATTCACTTTGTTGTGCTACCATCACCACCATCTATCCACAGAAGTCTTTTATCTTTCAAAACTGAAACTTCAGCCATTAAACAATAACTCCCCATTCCCTTCTCCCCCAGCCCTGGCAACCAACATTCTAGCTTCTGTGTCGATGAGTTTAACTACTTTAGGTACCTCATGTAAGTGCAGTTATATAGTATTGTCCTTTTGTGACTGGCTTGTTTCACTTAGCATGATGTTCTCAAGGTTCATCCAGGTATAGCATGTGACAGAACGTCCTTACTTTAATATTACGAATAATATTCCATTGTATGAATAGATATTTTTTTATCCATTCATCTGTCAATGGACACTTGGGTTTCTTTCACCTTTTGCCTATTGTGAATAATGCTGCTGTGAACATGAGTGTACAGATAATCTCTTCAAATCTCTGCTTTCAATTATTTTGAAATATATCCATCATGTACATGATTCTGTGTGGCTATACGTTTTCATCTAGGGGGATAAATGTCAAGCCGTGAGATTGTCAGACTGTGTGGTAAGTATATGTTTAGTTTCTAAGAAACTGCCAGCTGGGCGCGGTGGTTCACGCCTGTAATCCCAGCACTTTGGGAGGCCAAGGCGGGTGGATCACCTGAGGTCAGGAGTTAGAAACCAGCCTGGCTAACATGGTGAAACCCCATCTCTACTAAAAATACTAAAATTAGCCAGGTGTAGTGGTGCACACCTGTAATTCCAGCTACTCAGGAGGCTGAGGCAGGAAAATCTCCTGAACCCAGGAGGTGGAGGTTTCAGTGAGCTGAGATTGAGCCATTGCACTCCAGCCTGGGTGACAAGAGTGAAACTCCATCTCAAAAAAAAAAAAAGAAATAAAAAGAAAAGAGGAAGGAAGGAAGGAGGGAGGGAGGGAGGGAAAGAAAGGGAAGGGAGGGAGGGACGGACTACCAAACTACTTTCCAAAGTGGCCATTCCATTTTATATTCCTGCCAGCGATGTGTGAAAGATCTAGTTTCTCTGTATCCTCACTAACACTCAAGTGTTGTCCCCATTGTTTTTAGATGCTCTCATAGGTATGGGGACATATCGTCATGGTTTTAATTTACATTTCCCTAATAGCTAATGAAGCTGAATTTCTTTTCATGTGCTTCTAGAATTGCCATCTGTATACCCTCTTGAGTAAAATGTCTGTTCATATCTTTTGCTCATTTTCTAGTTGGATTGTTTGGTTTCTTTCACTGTTGTGTTTTGAGAATTCTTTGTCTATTCTACATGTGAGTCCATTTTCTTTGTTTTTCTTTCATTTTTCTTGGAAA